ACTTGCTTCTCTGGGTGCTAGTAAGTCTGCTACCGCACTCGGTACTTGTGAGTTTGCTTCCGCTCTAGGTGCTAGTGAGTCTGCTGCAGCTTTAGGTGCTCGTGCGTCTACCACCACAGGTCCTGCCTTAGCTGAGGCCTTGCACACTTTCACACTTGACTCAGGCGCGTCACGTTGCTTCTTTCGTGACTGCACCACACTCACACCTCTTGCTGCACCGGTGCCAGTCTCACTGGCTGACCCCACTGGGGGCCTAGTAGTTGCGCGAGCCTCCACTGTCCTCCCGTGTCCAGCATTCCCCTCCGGTTCACTGTCAGGTCTTCACTTCTCGAGAGCGTAGCCCGAGTGTTTGCAGGCGCTGGCAATACGAGGCGCTCTGTAGCGTTTTCTTGCAGGAGCTCCAAAAAGTATTGCTTAAGAATCTGGAGCAATTTTTCTTGGGTGGTGGCGTCAAGATTTGCCAATGTCACGGCGAAATTCGGACGAGCAGCAGTGCGCGCCGTTTTGATTTCGTAAAAAATCTGCCTTGACGGATGCTGCACATTTTTGACAGGCAAAAGATTCGTCATGTGCGTTGGTGTAGGGGCCGCGTCATTGCACCCTTGATGCGTTCCTGCTCGTGCATTGGTCATGCACGCAGGATAGCACGGACAATAGTTACGGGTCCCAGCCGGAGAAATTGGCGCGTGATCTTCAGGGTGGGAGTGAAGGTCTAGAAGATGTTTACTCCCTTTTGCTGACAGAACCTCTCGCCATGTAACGGGCCTCCAGACAGCCGCTTCACCTTGTAGAGGTACATGCCTCCTAAATGAGGTTCCCTTGGAAAAATTGGCGCGTGATCTTCCTTGTTTCGAGAATTGGTGCCACGAATTGCTGCACCAATCAAATCGAGAGCTGTGACTCCTCCTCGAGACTCATCTCGGGGAGAGCACAACAAGTCCCTCTCCGGAAGTCGAACTTCTGTCATCCTCACGTCGCGACGACTCACGCCTTGACGAACTGTGTATATTGATGCAAGTCGGGGGAGGATGGCCATTGACTGCGGAAACAAATCCGCTAGCCATGTTAAGTCTCGCGGCTAAAACATCGTTAAGCAGGGTTCAGGGTTGTTAAGATCTTAATATTAGCATAAGAGACAATGTGTGCCAACTCAAAATGAGGTGATTGAAGTGAGACTAGCTGGCAGATTTGTAGACTTGTCGAGAGATAAGAGGGAAATGCCTCTTCATTGAATAATCCATTTCTATTCTGATCACTTTGATTAAGATTTTGAACTGTACTTCTAGATTATGCAAACTATCCCATCTCACCCTCCTGCCCCAATGATTCTCTATGTTGTGTCCCCCCTTATTGAAAAGCCCTACAACTATCTCAAATACTCAGTCTGTGAGCTCCGAAATAGTATGCTTAGGACCGTGCTTAGGAGGCTATGCTAGGTAGGTTGTAGGTAAATCAAGGAAACAAGTGCCAGTGTGCAAGAGCGGTACTTGGCTGGGTCTCCACTCAAGCAGTTTCTCATTAATAAAGATGAAAACAAAGACAAGCCAAATGTTATTGATTTTCTAAAGAAATGTAATTTTGGCAAGTCCATTGCTTGATAACATATATAATAAGAGGGAAAGAAGGAGTATCCCATGACGTTTTAAGCAGCCACTAAAGGTTCTACACACATGCATATACATATATTGCATATCAGCGACACTCTCAAAGCACACTGTCATGTGGTGGCAGATACCCAGTGCGACGGTTGGATGCATCCGCCCATCGTCGAATCTTCCCGACTACCGCACCGCATGCTGTGTGATACTCCGAGCCTGCAAGCGCTGCAATGCCATGCCGAGACGTGTAATAAGTCCTGTCTCGAATATCCGTACGGATCCATCATTCCCCCCTCCAAGTCCCCCCTCTTCTGTGCTATCCTCTTCACACCTAGAAAATGCCGGCTCGGCTCGCTCAGTAGCCCTAAGGTCTCGGCCACGCACACGTAGAACTATGAGGCAACTTTTCCTGCACCTGCCTAGATACTGCCACTCCAATCTGTGTGGGGGTCGACCGTCTCAGCTGTATGTTCCCCTCTCGCTGTGGATCCGCTAGGGAGACATCCACTAGGACAATCAAGCTCTGCCTAACGTCGTGGCAGATGTGGTCTGGGATGCGGGGAGAAGTGTCTATTCGACCAATGTGTCTAGTTGGTCCCTGATGCTACACTAGCTGCTGCCCTATGTGGTCCCTTGGTGCCCCCTCTCTAGTCGTCTCTCTCCCCCTATCCTCTCTTGCACCTACATGCCTTTCCCCTGTTATGTGATGCTACCATTTGCATTCACGTCTGTCTGCCTCCCATCATATGTTCGTGCATTGCATGCGTGGTGTGAGCGTGTGCAAGAATTTGTGTTTTCTGTGGTTTGGATTTTCTGAGTATGTTGTGAGAAAACGAGGAATGGGTAACTAGAGGAAAGGTTGGGTACAAGTACAAACCCTAGAAATGTGTTGTACCCCATATGTGCAACCGCACTATAGCCTACATAGGCTAAGTCATATAAGTCTGACACAACCCCATACGCAATGTGGGGAAGAACAAAGGGTCACAAGACCAGTCAAGCAAAGCAAAGTCAGGGTGGATCACAACGTCACCACACTTTCCGAGCACAAGTTCAAGGACACAAGGCCAGTTCACATGCAAGATCATATATAAAGGTAAGCAAGCAAGTGCAGGTATAGAAAGATCACAGTACAAGCAAGGTCAATAAGTGAGCAAGTGAGGCCAAGTAGGCACAAGACCTAGCATCGTACAGCAGCGCAGATGATCACAAGGCGGAAGTGCTTTGGTAAAGATCTCAGCAGTGTTGGCCTCAGAGGCCACGTAAGTAAGGCACAGCTCACCACGTTGCTGCAGCTCACGAGCAAAGAAGTAGCGAAGAGCAATGTGCTTCGTTCTGTGCTCCAGTCTGTGCTCCCGAGACAAGGCCAGCATGGCCTTGTTGTCTACGTACAGAACTGGAGGAGAACGAGGCGGCTCTCCTAGGTCAGTCAGAAAGTAGGTGAGCCAGCGTAGCTCCTGTGCAGCCATGGCCCCCGCGCAGATCTCAGCCTCACAGTTGGAGCCGAGAACAGATGACGACCGGGTAGACCGCCACGAAACAGAGCCGGAACCAAGGCTGAAGGTGTAACCCTGTGACGACCGCTGCGTAGCCTGGTCGTCAGCCCAAGAAGCGTCTGCGTGGCCTGTGAGGACCACTGAACGCCGGCCTCCAAGCACTAGCCCCATGCCCGACGTACTGCACAAGTAGCGCAACACCCTCTTCGCTGCAGCCATGTGCTCTAGTCTCCCAGGAGCAACATAGCGTGCCAAGATGCTAAGAGGGTATGGAAGGTCAGGTCGTGTGCAGGTCATCAGGTACATGAGGCAGCCAACAAGCTCTGGGTATGAGCCACTCAGTTTTACGGACTCATCTGAAGGCAGAGCTGAGAGCGAGTGGCGAGTAGACAGAGGAGTGGCCTGAGGCGAGGAGTACGTGAAGTCGAAGCGCTGAAGGACCTGCTGCACCATGTGTGACTGAGTCAGGGTAATGGTGCGCTGTGCTCTGTCCCGGGTGATCTGCAAGCCAAGGTAGCTACGCAGTTCACCCAGGTCTGTGCACGTGTTTCTCTTCTGCAGCTTGGACTTCACGTGGGCTAGTCCAGCAGTGTCAGCAGTGGCAAAGACCAAGTCGTTGACGTACATGAGGATCTAGAATGGCGGCAAAGAGGTGTCGGTGCGCAGAAACAGCGACAGGTCGGCAGTAGAAGGAGCAAACCCAAGAGCCGCAAGTGTAGTCCTCAATGTGTCGTGCCACTCACGGGGCGCCTGGCGGAGACCGTAGACTGGCCACCGGAGGCTCCACTGGGTACCAAGAGGAAATGACCCAGTAAAGACAGGTGGGCGGCACAGCCAGATCTCCTTGTGCAGGCTGCCCTGCAGGAAAGTTGTGCTGAAGTCAAGAGAGTGAAGCTCGTAGTCGCGTTGAGCGGCTATGTGCAGCAGCACCCAAAGAGTGGTCATCTTCAGGGTGGGAGAGAAGGTCTAAAAGTAGTCAACTCCATGCCGCTGAGTGAAACCACGAGTCACGTAATGCGCCTTGAAGACAGGCGGAGAACCCGGCGGCCGCTTCACCCTGAAAATCCACATGCCACTAACGATGTTTGCCCCAGGTGGGGGAACCTCGTCGATGTAGGTGCCTATGGACTTTCAGGAAGCCATCTCTGCATCCATGGCTGACTCCCACTGAGAGGAGTAGGGACCCTCGATCGCCTCAGCGTACGATCGAGGAGTCGGGTTGTCTGGTGCATATGGGTCTCCCTCAAGGGCAATCACCATGGACACGAGATGAGGTAAAGGAGCAGCAAAACACTGGAACTCCTCCTGCCTTTCCTCAAGGACGTCCGTGCTAGGAGCACACTCACCCCCAACAGACAGAGGTTAGAAAGACTAAGACTCAGCAACAAGACTCGCGGCGTAGTCTATACGAAAGTGAGCAGCGAAGTCGACAAGCTCAGGAACTAGGGCACACGCAGCAGTGGACTCAAAGGAAGGGTCAGTGACAACTGTAGCCAGGAGACGCGTTACAGTAGGACTGGCAGCATGAAGAGAGTCAACTCCGGGTCAGCAAGAGCAGGAAGAGAGGATTCTGGAGGAGACAGCAAAGGGACACGCTGCGAAGCAGTGGAAGGACGCAGTGCCATCTGGTGCGTGCCCGGGACCGCAGGAGGACGCTGGCGCGGAACACGACGACTAGCGCGAACAGCACGAACACGCGACGCAGGACGAGACGTTGGCGCACGACGCTCAGCAAGACCTCCGGTAGGACTCGTGTAGGGAGAAGGAGCAGGCAGTGGGGAGGCGGGCTGTAACTGTGACTGCGACTAGACAGGCTGTGGACACTCGAAAGAAGGAGCGGGAAGCACGCGAGTAGAGGGTGAAGGTGTGGAAGGCCTGAGCTGATGTGGTTTCTGAGAGAGCAGACTCACCAGAACCTGGTGCAGCAGACGCATCTAGCACCTAGAGCAGCAGCCTCACCAGCACCTAGAGTAGCAGCCTCAATGTCCGGGTCAGGCGGAACACACAGGTAACGGTCACCCTTATCACTAGTAGACACAACATACATGGCAGCAAGAATAGCATCAGAATCTAGATCAAAGATGGCAACCTCCGACCTAAGCAGCTCGCCCCAGCAGGGGATCTCAGTGGCGTCAGGGAACTTGAGACGCCAAGCGTCCGTCAGGCGGCCGAAGCAGCGCTGGGTGGTGTGAGGGCCACCGCACGGCTCACTAGTGCGGTCGCCGGTTCGCAGTACGTAGGCACAAGGACCAGCAACCCCCGCCCCGCTGAAGTGCAGCGTACCACTCACGAAGCTGCTGGGGGGGCTGGGTCTCACGAGTGCGCTGCTGCTGCTGCTGGCGCTGACCACTATCAAAGCCCCCTGCTGCGTAGAGCCGCCCCGACCAGCTGGACCTCCGCCGCCGCCACCTCCGCCACCGCCGCCACTGCCGCCTCCTCCACTCCCACCGCCACCGCCTACGCCTCCACCGCCGCCACCAAAGCCCCCACCCCCGCCACCACTCCCACCACCACCCCAACTCCCTCCGCCGCCTCCACCGCCACCTCCACCACCCCCGCCAGCCCCTCCATCGCCCTTGCTCCCCTTGCCCTTGCCGGTGCGGCGTCTCCCACTAGGGGCAGACTCAGTGCCGACCGACTCGGTGCCAACAAAGTCGACGGCAGTAGTAGAGGCAATAGAGGGCAAAAGGGGGGAGGGGGAGCACCCCTCAAAGAAGGGTGTGGAAATTACTGCTTTAACGGGAGCTAGTCTACGGGCTAGGCACCGGTGCTCGTGTGATCTCTTCGTTCATTGGTCCTTAGTCGTTTTCCTAGTGCTCACTCTACTCGATAGTTCACGGGGCAATTTTGGCAAGAGTTTCACTAGAGAAAGTTGACAATAATGGTCCAAATCAGTTGGCATGGTAAGACTACATCAGAGCTAGCATTCAGGTTGGTCGACTGCCAGCACAGCATGGTCGACCGCATTCCAGCACGACTTGGTCGACCGCGCTCCAGCAGTGCAAAGTCGACGGCGTGCCAACGGTGCAGGTTGAGGGCGTGCGAGCATTGCTCTTGCAAAAAAGCAGTACACCTACTTCGCAGGTGCTCGTAGATGATTGGCGGGCTAAGCCTCGTCACCTAAACAGCGGTCGCACCAAGTTATCCTCGTGCTGACAGCTCCACCTGATCCGCCACGTCGACCTCGGGATACCACCACCGAGGTCGGACTCGCCAAATTCGCCTGGGCGACCGTCGCACTCCTTTGCAGAACCTCGTCGGGTCGACTTCCGGGTCGACGTGCCACATTGCCGACCACCAAGGCGGCGGCATTGCAGTGGCCCTGTGCAAGTCAACCAACCCCAAGTCAGCGTCGCCTACTGCAACAAGTCGGCTGTACCTCCCGTTCACCCAACCACGAAGTCCACTTTGCCCAAGCGAGGACGGGGCTAACAACAACTCCCGTTGACACTCCCCTGCCGCGTTCACGCTTGGGCTCCCAGCCCACATGGCATCACTGCTCGAATAATAGCTCGTCGGCGTGCACCGAACACACAGCACGCCGGTCACCGCACCAGCCATGCAGGAGGGCATGGCACCTACTGCTGCACATCGTTGTCACCGTCGACCACGTCGGCCAAGCGCACCTGGCCGATTGCGACGGAGCACCAATTGAATGCCGAATAGTGCAGCGCCTTCGTCAGGAATTCAGCTGGCTGCTCAACGGTTGGGATGTACTGCAGCGAGAACTTCCCGCGTTTCACCATTGTAGCTAGGCCTCTCGCCGCTCCATGTGCTTGAGGTTGCCTGTCAACCCCATGCCCTCGGCGACCGTGATGGCCGACTTGTTATCCACCCTCAGGACAGTCGGCTTCCCGGCATCCAGCTGCCGGAACTCTGCAAGGAGGAAGCGAAGTCGGCGTCCTTCCTTGCCGGCTTCGGTGGCTGTCACATACTCCGACTCAGTCGACGACAACGTCTCGCACTTGATGCGCTGGCTCGACCAAGAGACTGCGGCCCCTCCATAGACGAACACGTAGCCACCCGTGCTTGTCCTGCTCTGCTTGTCACCGGCGTCGTCGGCGTCCACGTAGCTGATCAGCTCCAGCGACTCAGGTCCACCGCTGAACTCCAGGGCGGTGTCACGCGTGTTGGCGAGGTAGGCGAGACAGCGGTCGACCTCACGCCAGTGGTGGTCGCTCCTCACCGTGAGGCCGCTCCCCAGCTTACTGCAGGCGAAGGCGATGTCCGGCCTCGTCATCGTCCCCGCGAACTGCAGAGAGCCGACCTTCTGCTGGTACTCTTTCTCCTGTCGCTCCTGTGCCTCCTCGTCATCGAACGTGAGCTCGGCGTAGGCATCGACTGAGACCGGCGTCTTCGGGGTGCGCCCGGTCTGCTCCTCGTCGATGAAATGCCTACGCAGTTTGTCGACGTAGCCCTATTGATGCACCCACAGCTTCCCCGCCAACCTGTCGTGGACGATCTCCATCCCGAGGTACTTCTGCACAGGTGAGATCCCGCGCAGCTCGAAGGCGGCTTCCAGCAGCGCCTTTAGCTCGACCAACATCGCGGCGCTGCTGCTGGCAACGAGCAGGTCGTCGACGTAGACCAGCACCCAACAGGCCACCCCGTCGTCGCCGACTTGGAAGTACAGAGCTTCTTCGACCTGGCTCTTCTTCCACCAGGCGCTGACCAGCACATTGTTGAGCGCCAAGTACCACAACAGCAGCAACTGCTTCAGCTCGTACAGGCTCTTCAGCAGCTTGCACACCCGGCCGGTCCCGTCATTAAAGTAGTCCGGCTGGGACATGTAGAGCACCCTGTCAAGCTTGCTCTGCAAGAAGGCGTTCGTCATGTCGAGCTGCATCAGGTTGAGGTTGAGCACGGCAACGATGATGAGGAATGATTCTCAACGTGACGTAGCTGCCCACCGGCACGATCGTCTCATCGTAGTCGGCGCCGTACACCTGCGTGAAGCCCTTCACGACCAGCCTCGCCTTCTCTCGCTTGACGGTGTCGTCGATGTGTTACTTCGTCGTCAGCACCCACCAGTTTTTCATGATGTTGACCCCCGGCGGGCGTTCGACCAGCTCCCAAGTGCCCATGTTGAGGAGGCTGCGGATCTCCTCCTCCATGGCGGCCTTCACCGCCAGGCCCTTCCAGCTCGCCAAAGCCTCCTTCACCGTCATCGTGGAGATGTCCTAGCGGTGTTCAGGGCCGGCCAGCATGTTCGGATTGAGCTACGAAAACTCCTCATTGTCCTCGGCGTCATCGTACAGCAGGTCATCGTCATCGTCCACGTCGTACACGGTGGTGAAGGCAGCAGGGACAAAGAAGTCCGGCAGCCTCCAAACTCGATCTGACTTTCGTTGTTCAGGCCAAACCTCCACCACGTCATTCTTGGTGGACTCCCTAGTGTCCCCTCCTTTGTCACCACCTTCACTGCCCTCGTCGTCTTGTTGCACCTCGGTCGACTTCCTGGTCGACCTCTCCCCTGTGGTCGGCTGCCCTGCCGACTGCCTGGTTGCCGACCGCTCCGTGGTTGGCTTCACTGCTGCCGGCTCCCCTGTCGGCTGCTGCTCCTCGACCTGCTCCTCCCCTGTCGACGTTGGCCTCAATCCCACGTCGACTTGCCGCTCGTCACGTCGGCCACTAGCGATGCCCTTGGTCGACGCCGAAGGCGACGGCCTACTACTCCCCTAATCGCCGGAGGGCGACACCAAGGTCAGCCCGCGCAGGCCGGCCAGGAGCGGAGGGGCAGAGGCCGGAGAGGGAGGGGAAGGAGGGCGGACGGCCTCGACGTCCTCAGCAGCAAACTCACCGAACTCGGCGAGCACAGGCCTTGTCGCTGACGAGGTGTTGGTTGGCAGGGTGGACGACGTTTGGCCGGACACCGGCCCTTGCTCTGACTTCCACTCGGCCAACCACATCTCCTCGTAGAACACCACGTCCGACGTGGTGACTACCTGGTTGGCGTCCACGTCGAGGAGCTCCCAGCCCTTGCTCGCCGCCGACACACCAAGGTGAAGGCCCCACCTGGCCTTCGGCTTCAGCTTCCCACCACGCTGCTGCTCGGGAACAAGGAACTGCGCCATACAGCCCCACACCCTCACCATCGACAAGTCGGGCTTGTGGCCGACCAGCAGCTAGTACGGCGTCGTCCCCGGTGGCAGCGTCGACCGCTCAAGACAGTTGTGGACCTAGACGGCCTGCCGCAGAGTGAGGTGCCACCAAAAGTGCTGCACGCTCATGTGTAGCAGCATCGTCCGCACCGACTCCACCACCGTCCTCATCTCCCGCTCCGCCATGCCGTTTTGCTGCGGGGTGTACGAGCAGGTAAGGTCATGGACGATCCCCTGTCCATCCACGAAGTCGGTGAACTTCTTCTCGAGGAACTCCCCCCCTCGGTCGGAACGAAGCATCAGCACCGGCTTCTACGTCTGCCTTTCCACCAACACCAGCCACTTCTAGAACTCCAGCAACACATCCGGCTTCTTGGCGACCGTCATCACCCACGCGAAGCGGGTCTTGCGGTCCTTCAGCAGCAGGAAGTACAGGCTGCCGTCCTTGGCAGCCACGCGGAACGGCCCGCACAGGCCGATGTGCACGACCGCCAGCACGTCGTCGGCGTCGGAGCCTTGGTCGGGGAAGGTGTGCTGCGCCAGCTTCCCGCCGACGCACAAGACACACGGTGAGTCGGCGCCCGTCGCCGACTTGAGGTCAAGCCCAATGGCGACCTCGTTCTTTGCCGAGCTCTTGATGGTGTCCATGCCGACGTGCGCAAGTCTAGCATGCATCCTGTCCGGCGTCGACTTCGTTTTCGAGACGATCGCCCGTAGGGCCACAACCTGCGTCGTGGGTGACGTCGGCCTCGTTGAGCAGGGACGTAGGTCGGTGCAGAGGACACGCCCGGAGTACGTCACCCGACCGAGCACCTCTCCAGTTGCCGAGACGAGCAGCATCCCGTCGCCGTCCTCTTGCAGCTTCACGCCGTGCTCCTTCAACTAGCCAGACGGCAGCAAGTTCGCCCGCACACCCGGGACGTACAGCACGTCGGGGATGAGCACCTGCTTCGTGGCATCCCCTTGCAGAGCGACGGTGCCGCGGCCCTGGACGTCCTGCAGAGCCCCATTGAAGCCGCGCACGTATTTGATGGAGCCGCTCGGCGGCAGGTCGACGAAGACTTCCTTCGTCCCCATCAGGTGGTGGGAGCAACCGCTGTCGAGCAGTACCACCGCCGGGTTTGCCTGCATAGCTGCCGCTACCGCCTGGAAGTCTTCCCCAGCCTCTGGCGCCAGCGAGACGGTCGGCTCCACGACGCCGACCAGCGAGCACGACGGTGTCTTGTCGTCCCGCCCCTTGCCGCCTGCAGAGGAGTCGGCGTCCTCCACCGAGGTCGACGTCGTCGACTGCTTCTCCTTGCGCGGCTTGTTTCCTCCTCGACGAGGACGACAACTGCCAGACCTCCCGCAGCCTCCCTTGGCATCGTCGTCGTCGGAGTCACTGCGGTCGGGGCACTCGTAGGAGAGGTGGCCGGGGTCGCCGCACAGCCAGCACTCCCGTCGTCGACGTACTCCTCCTCGGCCGCTGTCTTTGGTCGACTTCTTCTTGTTGACCTCCTTGGCCGGCTTCCAGCCACTGCTACCGCCACAGCCGGACTGTCCGCGCTGCCCTGGTCGACCTCCTTGCTTCGCCGGGGCGAGGAAGTTTGCCTGCGCCAAGAGTTCCTGGGATCGCTCGGCCACCTGCATCGCCTCGTCCTGCAGGATATACGAGGTCAGGTTATCCTCGTTGAGCGTCATCCTCGTGCTCGGCACCATTGACAGCCGCTTCAGGAGGTTGTAGCTGCTCGAGAGTCCCTGCATAACGTGGGTGACGTACGACGCCATGGAGTACTGCGCGCCGGCCATCCTGATGGTGGCGAGAATTCGCCGGGCCCGGTTGCAGTAGTCAGTCGCCGTCTCCTCGTTGCCCATACGCAGATAAGTCAGCTGCCCCTCCATCTGGGTGATGAACAAGTCGTCGGTGACTTGATAGGTCGACTTGATGAAGTGCCACGCCCGGTGGCCGGCATCGAGGTACTCTCGGCACCATTTCAAAGCGATCCGCATGCCTGGCGAGCAGCACCGCGAGATGACTGTGAAGGTCAACAGCTGCACGGCGCGAAAATCTGGTCGTAATTTGGCGTGGTGCTCCTCCGGCATCGCCACGGTCCCTTGGGCGAAGCCGATCAGCCCAGCCATCTCCAGCTGGGGCTCCATAGCTTCTTTCCAGGTGAGAATGTCTGGTCGACCAACGAGCGGCGGGGTGACCAAGATCCTGTCCGGCGTGAACTTGAAGTAGTCGTAGCTCGGCGCAATCCCACCCGCCGTCACCTGGGTCGCCGACATCGGTAACAAACCACTTCGTCGTCCTCCGAAGTCGCCCTGCGAGGAGCCTGCAGCCGCCGACGACTGCACCCCTCGCGCCTGAACGCCGCCGACTTCATCGGCGTGAATCACACCACGCTGCCTCGACGTGCCTCCCACACTGCTGCCGACTTGGCCACCTCCGGCGTTAACGCCCACGTCGACGCCGCCTTCGTTGGTCACCGGTCGAGGAGAAGCTGGTCGAGAAGAGGGATGTTCCGTCGCCCACATGGAGCGGAGTCCAGCCTCGACGACCACCCAGGGTATCGCCCCGTACTCCTGGGCCTCATGGCGTCTCCTTGCATCCTCCACCCGTCCCTCTAGGGTGTCCATCACCTTGGTGTCACCTACGTGCACGCTAGAGACATGTACGGCTGCCAGCCTACGAGCAACTTAGGTAAGTGACCTCTACGTCGACCTGACTAAAAGATAAGTCGTGTGCCGTCCACGCTCACCGCACCATGCGGAGATTACTTCTTTAACGGGAGCTCGACTACGGGCTACGCATGGGTGTGCGTGTGATCTCTGCTTTTGTTGGTCCTTAGTCGTTTTCCTAGTGCTCACACTGCTTGCTAGTTCATGGGGCAATTTTGGCACGAGTTTCACTAGAGAAAGTTGACAATAATGGTCCAAATCAGTTGGCATGGCAAGACTACATCAGAGCTAGCATTCAGGTCGACCGCGTTCCAGCACGACTTGGTCGACCGCGCTCCAGCAGTACAAAGTCGACGGCGTGCCAATGCTGCAGGTTGATGGCGTGCTAGCATTGCTCCCGCAGAACAGAAGTGCACCTACTTCGCAGGTGCTCGTAGATGATTGGCGGGCTAAGCCTCGTCACCCCAAGTCGGTGACC